GTTTAATCTTCCAGTGAGCCCGTGCAGGATGTAGTTAAGAGTGGTATCTTCTGTACGTGATACACATGGGTTGTGCTGGAAGGACAAGATGCATTTCCCAGGCTGGGGTGATGCAAGGAATGATCAAAACCTTAGAAATCTCTTGGTTCTGGTGATTCACAGCAGCTGGACTGCTATATCAAATATCTTCTGGGGAGAAGAAAAATCTTCATTAAAAAATTGTTGAATGTTTATGCCAATAGATTGTGCCTATCACCTTTTTCATCTTTGGTAGCACCCTTCCCATATAAACAGTATTTCCGAACAAATGAAAATTACTCTTCTTTCAGTTGGTGATATTGCTTTAATGAACCCCTTCCCATTACAGATTATTTATACATCATTTTCTTGTTATACTCAGGACAGATGATCTCACCTATCTTTAATATGTTATTAATAGTAGTTCTCATTAGAAAAGCTGGCTCATAAGTGTGCTGCCTTTAAACACCATGAGATGGAATTCTTCATCATTAGTGTTTATCACAGGTTTTCTTTCTGTCTTTTTTTTTAAGCACTTACTCTATTTCAGCTAGGTCAAATTCATTAAATTGGCAAATAATTTTAATAATAGTAATCATGTAGTGACCTTTTCTTTTGAAAGCTAGAAAGCGTGTTATAAATGAGGCAGTGATTAAAGGAAGAAAAAATCAGTTGAGTGCTGGCTGCAAGAACTGGGCTCTGCACTCTGCTGCAGATTTTCTTTGTGCCACAGTGCAAGTCATTTAAATCGTGTTTTTGGAGAGAAATCACTAATAGCTCTCATTTTCCGAGTGCCCAAGCTGAGACCCGGACTCTGAATGACCTCTCAGCATTTCTATCCAGCTACAGCTCAGCCAAATGAGGTTGTGCTTGTGAAATAGTCTGCATACCTGAAAAATCATGTTCTGACAGTTCATGCACTAAATATCTCGAATGGAGTACCTCAAATACTAATTTAAGGCTAGTTTGGACTTAATTCAGCTGTACGTCAACTTCCCATCTGTAAATTGGTATAATTCTTTTTACAACCTTTTGCCTCAGCTCTTGTTGAAGATGTAAATCTGTATGCATGAAATATCCAAATACTGTAATACTGTCCCCCATCTATTATGGGGGACTGCACAGTAATCAGTGAGAATAAGATATTGTTTAAATGCCCCTTAATGAGTATCTTCTGTCCTGAGCACTGAAAGAGGTATGAGTCCTACAGAAAAGAGTGATTAATTTAAAAATGTATCAAGCACATGCACGAAGGAGACATTTAATTGGCTTTGTGCTGTTTCCTATTTTTCATGTGTGACTTTGCAGCTTCAGCTGAACATTTTAATGCAGTACATGTGTGTGCCCATGCACTGATGATATGTCATCATGCTTTTCTAATTAACTTATCCCCAAACAATGAAAGGTTTACTTCCTCCACAAGAGCACCAAAACATATGAAAGTTTAACAGTTCCAACTGTCTTGGACTAGAAATGTTGAAGATGAATTAAAAATGTCCCCTGAGTCTGTAAATGGTGCAATTCCAAAGTTGCTTCCTTTCCTTCATCCCCCTTCCAACTTGAAGCAAAAATTCCATCCTGGGACAAAATCTCAGGAAAGCTGGGCCTCCAGCAGAAGCTGAAGACGAGGCTACAGAGCCAAGGGAAAATCAACTTTAAAGTGTTTAACAGTGACCCAGGGGAGAACGTGTCTGTAATTCTCCCCTTGGAAAGCAGAGGGACTTCAGCAGTTGCATATAGTTTGGTCCAGCATCACGAGGTCATTCCTAATTGGAAACATACTACTATGTACAAGCAAAAACTGTACTGCTAACGGGGAGCATCTCTAACAACCTGCTACCATAGTCACTGATTCTGGCTGAGGGTCAGCCAGTTATAAGTTCACGAAGTTAGCAGAAACTTTCTCAAGGGGTTGACATGTATGGGAGAAGTTCCTTCATCTCCCACAGCAGGCAATATTTTAATCCTGTAGAATTGCTACATCCTTTCTTTTAATTGCAGTTAATTACAAATTAACTCTGGTGTTTCAGTCAGCTTTCAGGCATTTCATGGGAAACCCATTCTGAGCTGGGGCTGCAGCAATCCGCTGCTCTTACTTCATCCTAAGAAAAGCCATGAGCCATGCAGAGGTTCATATCTTCTGGCAGGATTTCCCTATGTCACGTCCTCTGACCTCGGTCGAATAACCTGGCTGAACTACCAGTAATTCCAGTTAGAAGAATGAGATTTGCAAGCACGGATTGTTAACAGTTCTACCTTAGCTTCTTTGCCTTGTTTTTGCTGTTACAGTATCATTCTTTCCTGCAAAGTGTTAGTAGGCACCTGCATCCTGCAAAGTATTAATAGGCACCTGCATCCTTGTTTTTACACCGAGCCCTCAATCTTGGCAGTCACAGGTATTCATCCGAAGCTCTTCAGCTAATAGAAGCTTATTTTGCTGTCATCCTTCTCTTATTACATCACATTTGTCTCAACAGACTGTCACTTTAGTCCCTTCTGACAAACCATGGCACCAGCCTCTGTAGAGGCCCCCATAGCAAGAAAAAATTAACTCTCAGGCTGGTGTGGAAGGAAAAAGCACTAAATGAATGGCCGCTACACAGGGCATTTATGCAGCCCCCTGCAACATTTTGCTCTTGGGCTCAATGATTTCTCACTGATGTTGCAAAAGGGAACTAACTTGGTCTCCCAGATGTGGAAACAGCAGCTGTTAAGGAGGAATTACAGATACTCAGATACTAGTGCAGGGTAGTGTTGTCTCTAGACATGTAAACGCACTGTGTTTTGGGGCAGAATAAATCGGAGGAGAACACTGCCCCCAAAACAGGCTTCAAGTGTGCTCAGACCCCACTGTGGTCTGTACTCGGGAAGGGGAGGGAAAGGAAAAAGACCTCAAGCTGAGTCAGCTTGAATTGGAGCAAGGTAATTTTGTTCCCTCGCAAACACACGCCTTCGAGAGAACGGAGGCTGCGTACCAAGAGACTATTGATCGTGTTGCTAAATAAAGCAGCGGCCTCGCTTGGCGCAAGGCTCTTCTAGGAGACGAGAGAAGACGTGCAGCCCGCCCGCCACACGAAACGAATGACTGGCACCGCTGACGCTGCCACCTGAGCCGGTGCCCACGAGGGCACGGCCGCCTGCCCCGACAGGAGCGACGACCTCGCGGCGCAGGCGAAGGGCTCGTCAGGGAGCCGCCCCGGGACACGTGCGGGGAGGCAGCGTGGCACCACGGGCTAGCGGCGCCCTGCTCTTGCAGGCCACCCGGGCAGGTGGCGCCGGGTACTGCCCCCTCCTAACTCCAAGGGAAAATCTCAAGACGAGCGCCGCGATGTGAGGGAAGGAGGCCGAGGTCAGCTTTTGGAAAGAAACGTGGAGCCAGGGAGGGTGGCGCGCGCGCCTGGCAGGCGAGCAGAGCTCCGAGCACCAGCGCTGGAAGCGGTAACAGCCTGACGTGGGTATGCAGCTGCAGCAATGGTGCTAAGAGGGACCAAAGCAGGAGCCGTGGGGCACACGGGCTCCCAGAGGCAAGTGCTGAACACCCGCTGCTGTCCAGCCACTGTCCCACAGTGACCGAAAAGCGGTCCCTCTTCAGCAGACTGAGTGGTTTGTTTACAGTAGTGTCTAAAATAAACATTGCCTATTTTCTTTTTCTTTTTTTCTTTTCCTCCCTGCTCCTGCTATTCCTGCGGAGCGGGCTGGGCTCCTGACTCACGCCTGATTATCCAGCTTCCAGCTGCCCTCCCCGGCCCGGGGCCGCCGCCAGCAGCTGCTCTGTGGGGCACTTGGCCCCAAGCTGCGCTGGTAGGGCCCACTGCTGCTCGCGGGGGGAGGAAAAAAAAAAAGATTTTATTTTTCCTCACAGTTGTGGGTTTAAAAATAGACAATAAATAAAGTGAAGGGGCACATGTGCTCGCTTCCCAGGCCAGAACCGGCCCCAGCACCAGGGGGAGGCGGCGGGAGCGGAGGGCAGCCAAGGGGAAGGAAGAGGCGGCGGGGCAGAAACCTGGCCGCGGCCCCGGTTCTGGTTCTGGTTCCGGTCCCGGGATCCGCCGCCGGGCGGTCGGGCCCCGCAC